GGAAAGGAATACTGACCTCCGATGTCTTCTCAAAAATCCCGGTCTGGGTGCCCTTGACGGCCAGGCAAGAGAACGGCCTCTTTCACTTGGCGAATGAGTGGTAAATGGAGAGCCTCAGGGGGGCCAATCCACTCCGAGAGCTGGCCATTCAGAGGCACAGAAAGACTGTCACTTTACCTTCTTGACTGACAAAGAGAGGTTTATGTGCCCGGTCGCTTACCTACTACCCAATGATTCAAAGTTAGAGACAAAGGTGTAGACACAGTCTGGCCCATGTTAGCAGACAACACAATGTACACGAACAGACAAACAATGTAGAGAATCAGCACACAACAACCACACAAAGTGTCCCGTAGAGGAACTGAGATAAACTACTGGTCACGACGATGCTGGCAATACAAACACAGACTCTGGAACCGCCTCAGAGCCCTGTGCCCATGCCGGTAATACAAATGCAAGCTCCGGAACCACTTCAGAACCTACAAATGCAGACTCCAGAACCACTTCAGAGTCACGCGACCATGCTGGCAATACAAATGCAGATTCCAAATCTACCAAACGGGAGCCATCACAGCACCCCATACAATGCTAAATGACAAGAGAATACAATCAACAAACAACAAGACAACCAACAAAGCACCTTACAACTACAAAAGACTAATAATAAGAAGGCCTTACCGGCCACCCCGTCTGTGCTGGGAATGCAGACTCCACGCCTGCCCCGTCGGAAGTATCTGGGCGTCCCCAGCCTTCCTTTGTCCTCCTGAGGCGTCCCTCAGGGCCGTAGCCTGTGGCCCCCGGGCACGTCTGCCGGCCACAGCCAGGAAGGGCTCACGCCCTGTCCCAGCAGCTACTACACCAGCACAGTTCCCAAAACCCTAGAGCGCTCACAAACTACCAAAATCCAGAATGAAGAGACACAAACCACAAATAAGCCGGCCGACAACACAAATAGGCGCCTGCACTTACCCCGAGAGATATCTGTTGGAGACGTCCGCAGGCAGCAGTCAGATCTCGCTGGGGCCTCCAAATGTTAGAGTCGACTGCCCGAAAAACGTCACCAAGAGACATCTCTTATGCAAACAGCAAGGGGAAGCTTTATTGATTATCCAGCATGCTGGGGCTGTCTGACCATACATGAACAGAGCAGCCCCGAATAACCAAAGGTTAGGGTTTATAAAGGCAAAAACCACAAAACCGGGAAGGGGGGAATACACGGTTGCTATGCACAGTTGCTATACACAGTTGCTAAAATCAAAAGAGAGTACATAAAATCAAAAGAGTATATGGTTACTGGGGTCAACATAACCTAAAACCTAATTGAAATTAATATTTATCATAATCTTGACAATACCAGTTACAATATTACAATTAGCAATTAGGACTTGACATTAATGTAAGACACAGACAAATCACATCTTTATTATTAGCCCAGGTAACCCAGGTGCAACCTTTCTACTTTTAAGCTTGAGCAGTCATGCTAGGGGGTTTTTGTGCGTTGCCAAGGGTGATGTAGTGCACTGCTATTGTCTGACTATTTGAGATCATAGTTTCAGACCAGAGTCTCACAGTGGGGGGGTGCTTTCCCAGAATGCAGTCTCAAGTGCTCCAAAATGGAGTCCCTACTGCCAAGGTGCTACTCTGTCTTATTTTTTTACAGCTGTACCAGCAAGGTTTAAACCTGTAAGCTTAAGCTTAACTTTTTACACCTGCACATATACAATTTTAACTCTTCATATCCACAGAGGATATATTTCAAGGTCCCTAAGTGAATGCCTGAAACTACCAGTAGTATTGAACCCTATATATACTATGTTTTTTTTCCTATATGTACCTGCCTCTGATAAAGTATACTTTACAAATTAGGTACATTAAGCAATTATGAATAAGTAAAAATAAAATAGAGCAATCATAAGAACGGGTACTGTAGTACAAAATACTGTATTTTTATGTTTTCATTGAAAGGAATGCCATGGCTTTTCTTTAGCATACCTGAATTTGCAGCCTCAGTATTCCTGCACTTTGGGATCTTTACTAAGTAAATAAAGGATGCTTGAGCACAAGCAGAACAGTATCAGGATGATCCATCCTGATGACTGAGATGCCTACTGAATGACTAACAAGTGGTAGCCTATACAGTGTGGGTATGCTGGATGAAGGTATGATTCCTGCTCCAGGCAGAATGAAATTGAAAGATTAGAGATTTTATCATACCACTTAGAATGGCACATAATTTAAAGCCTGTGAATTATTTCTGGAATTTTCTATCTAATATTTTCAGAGCATAGTTGACTGTGCATAATTGGCATACTGGAAAAAGAAGCCATGGGTATGGGAGTATTGTTGCACAAACACCCATAATTATGTGAGGATACTGAGAATAAATCCAGTATAAATGAAAATAGAATAACCTATTTTAAAATTAGATTCCTTGAGTTTCAATTTCAGAACTTTCTCTCCAAGATTAGCCTTCCTGTCAGGTGAGTTGGTCTGCAATTCTAGGTCTTCTATTGTGAGAGGGATATGAGAACAATGTGACACATTTAGAACCAGCTGCCATTTTGTGTACACTTTCTATGTGCCAAGATCTGTGCTAAGTACTTTGTATTTATTTAATCCTTACAGCAATGCTACACAAGTTGGAATCACTGCACTGTTTTTACAGAGGAAGAAGCCATGATTTATAATTAGAGTAAATTGCCTAAAGGCACACAACCAAAACCTGTCAAACCAGAACAAACCAGGGAGGAGGTCAAGTGACTTCAAAGCTTCTGAATTTAAACCCCTTGCACTGTAGATTCAGCCATTCTCAAAGTGTAGTTGATGGATTCCTAGAGGTCCTTAAATCCTATCAAGGGGAAACATGTCCAACTATGTGTATGTAGAATGCCGGGCTTTCTTCATTTACTTCAACCCAAGCAACAGATGGCAACAGCATGAAAGCAGAGACCGATTACAGAGAATGCCATTGTTTTCTGTTAAAGCGAAAATTTGATTTTTGCAAAAATCTAAAACAATGTTATACTTCTCACTATTTTTTTAGTTTTGGAAAATGGGGTTATTTTAAATCAATTCCATCAAGGTGGCATGTATCTATGCCATTTCACTAGTCAAAGTGATCAGTTTAAGTTCATAATTGATCATAATGATATGATTAAGTGTCAAAGGGATCACATAAACAAGACTAGTGTCTGCTAATACTAACTGATAGAATTAAAAAGGAGAGAATGATCCAACATGGGAAGCAGGATACACAGCAGACTCATAGAAAGGCAGATTCCCTAAATAGCACTCTGGCCTCAGAATTAGCCCTAAGGCATTCAGATCAGGCTAAAAAGCCCAAGAGAGTTTCTCAGGCACGGAAAGCCAAGACACTCTGGCAAAATAATAATGATAATAATAATAATAACCACCTAAATGAAAGATCTCTGTGAGTGAGATCCCAGCGGAAAGAACAGGCCATCAAAGAAGGAGGTACCTTTCTCTGAAGGCAGGAGAGAACTTCCACTTTGATTATGGCCTTTTCTAAGTAAGATCAGAGTTTGTGAAGTCAAGAGGCTCCCATAGCCTAAAACTAGTACTCAAACAGTACTTCATACTTTGTGTATCAGTGTGGGTGCAAGATGTTGAAATCTTTACTTAGTATATACTAAGTTGATCTTCTGTATATAAAGATAATTGAAAATGAATCTTGATGAAGAATGGGATGGAAGAGGGAGTAGGAGATGTACTTTCGAAATTTATATTTATTAAATAAAAGTTTAAAAAAGAAAAATAAGGTTATTTTGAATAATAATTATTATGTATAGCAAAATGTAAGGAGTTTCACTTTTTTTGTTGTTGTTGTTACAAAATAATAAGTGAGTCTTTACAATTTTTCTTAGGGGCAAGCATTTTGCATAATGCTTAAGACTCCTACTTCCCATATTAGAGTTCTGGTTCCCCCACTTCTGATCCAGCTTCCTGCTAATATACAACCTGGGAATAAAAGATGATGGTTTAAGTACTTGTATCCCTGCCATCCACATGCGAGACCCAGATTAAGCCCCAGCTTCCAAGCTTTGGCTCAATCCTGGTTGTTGCAGGAATTTAAGATCTCCTCCCTCCCTCCCTCCCTCCCTCCCTTTCTTCCTCTCTCTCTCTTTCTCTCTCTCTCTCTCTCTCACACACACACACACACACACACACACCAACTTTAAATAAAATGAAAATAAATACACAAATACTTAAAAGTTATTTTTTCCAGTTTTAACTCCACTTGGAGACCTCAAGTATCTTAAGAATTTTAAGCAGTCTTAGGACCAACAAGTTATAACCCATTGCTGTAGACTTCCACTTTCATCAGGTGTTTTGCAAGAGCTAAATATAAAACTGGTATGACAGGGGGACCAGGAGCTCTGGTCCAGCAGGTAAAGTCACTGGCTACAATGCCAGCATCCCATATGGGCACCAGTTCGATTCCTGGCTGCTCTGCATCCAATCCAGCTCTCTGCTAATGGCCTATGAAAAACAGTGGCAGATGGTCCAAGTCCCTGGGCTCCTGCACCCACTTGGGAGACCTGTATAAGCTCCTGGATCCTGTCTCTGGCCCAGTAAGGCCCTTGTCATTGTGGTCTTTTGGGGAATGACCCAGCAAATGCAAGATCTTTCTCTATGTCTCTCAGTCTCTCCTCTTCTCTCAGTCTCTCCAGCTCTGTAACTCTTTCAAATAAAGAAAGAAAGAAAAAAAAAAAAAAGATCTGACAGCTCCTTTTGTCTCTCAGGTACGATGTACGAGGACACTTCAAAACATTTGTGAAAACTGAATTAAAAGAGAAGTTTATTTTGGAGCACAGCAATATTTGAAACCTATGTACACAGAGCTGATCTGCAGCACTAACATCCCCTTTGGACA